TTGTCGATTAATCCTCTCTGCCTATCCCGCACACGTAATGCTATAGTAGTAATGCACAAGTTTTCTTCAAAAAATGTTTATTTTTTACAATTTCCAATAACATTATAAAGTTATAATGCTGCAGTTTTAGATCATTTTCTACGTAACTGTAACAAAATGTTTACTAACCAAGTGTATTTATAAGGTGGTCGACTATTACTTGTTAATTTGTTACCTAGAGTCTCTGAGCAAAACCGCGGACGGATGGACAGACGGACAGACATGGCAAAACTATAAGGGTTCTTTGTTGTTTAACTACTGAACCCTAAAATTACTTTCAATAAGAGTTACTTGTAATTTATATTGAATAAAAATTATTCTATTATTTCATCAGCTGGAGTATAACTGTTTGTTTGTTTAACTGACTTAAAGAAATCAGGAGGTTCTCTATTCGTAGTAATATTTTTAATTTTTTTCGATTTTAATGATTTTTACCTCTTTTCCAATGAATTTGGTCAAATCTTGATTGATGATGGGATCCATCAGGAAATTATAAAACTCTCCAATTCGCAAAGGCACCCGCACTCCCAATTGGAATCGTATTTTGATGATTATATTATTTTTAGTAATTTGAAGTCAGCTTTTATTTAAAAAAAGTTTATTATGTAAAAAAAAACTCCTAAATAATAATTGAACTTTGTCCTTAACATCAGTCCTCAACTGCAGAAAGTAAGTCGCTAGCTAATAGCCTCCACAAGACGTTCATGGGTTTAATTACGTCACCACCACAAGGCAAAAATATATACGGTTCTTAGTTTATTTTTGGTATCCAACAACGCCTGTACCTTTTTTTAATGAAGAGCAAACGAGCACGCGGTTCACATGATGGTAAGTGACGCCGCCCATGAACCAACTGCAACACCGGGGAATAAGAGTTTATTTTACTCTTGCCGGACTAGCGGCAACTCTAGTGGCCACCGATGTTCAGAATACGAGATTATTATTCGGGATTCAGTTTAGCTTAATTTAGACTTTGTTGTTAAGCTCATTCATGCCATTTTGGTGCGATTTCAGCCAGGCGTCTCCACAATACTCGGCCCATACACAATGTCTTACCCATGAGATTTTTTTATAGAATAATGGTGACAAACGAGCACACAGTCCACCTGATGATAAGTGGTTGCTTTGGCCTATGAACATCTACATTTATTCTCGATTAAGATTCAAAATGCAGATGCGTTATCACCCCTGCGGACTAAGATGGAATGCTTTGCTTCCAGTAAAAAGGGTCTCCGGTTCTTTGCACACATCATACGAAACACAGCAGCATTAAGTTGCTATTTTACGGTAGAATTATGTGAGAGCGTGATCCTCAACCATTTGTTTCGACCCATTCGTGCTACAACCATAATATAGCTGCTGCATGGTTCTTCCTCGAATAAAATTAAAAGAATATACAATTATATAAGAAGTAAAGTGAAATTAAAAAATAATTCCCTATGCATACTGTCGTGTATAAACATGATCTAGCACTATAAAAATATCAAGTGTGGCGGATAGCGTGGCGTAGTACAAATATAAACATCGGTGACACTGGCTTTATATCTGTATTTATTTGTACTATAAAAATGCGTGCATGTGAACAAGAAATGCAGCACAACAACACTAAGACTCAATACGAAAATGGCATAATTTTACCAATAAGAAAGGGCATAATATCGTATTAAATTTATGATTATAGTTATATATAACTAACTGTTATAACAAAATAGAAAGAAAAATGTAAAATCTGCGCAGGACAGGATTATAGTGCCCAATTGTACGCGCAAGCACAGTAAGTGCACTCTGTCTCTATTCCCTCACTCTCATAATCCGATGGTATGGTTAATCGATACGACCGGAGATAGACCAGGAGCAGGTCCAACAGCTTTACGTGCTTTCCGAGGCACAAGAATTTATTGATAGAAAAACCCAACAGATTTTGGTCCGACCGGGATTCGAATCCGGGACCTCATGATCAGCAATTGCCTTTATGACTACTGGATCAACAAGGCAGTCAAGTTAGGGGGGGGTTCCTGAAATATAAGACCATTAAGTCACATTACTTAAGCCGTCCAAAAAGACGAGAGCCCATGTGACCTGAGGTCAAACGCGAGGTCGTGTCGAAGCGACCGTCTCCGAGGCTTTGCCCTCGCGACCTTAGTATTTGTAATTAAAACAGCTTATCTCACTCCCGATCAAGGTGTTATATATTAACGTTATATTTGTTACAACTGTGTTCATTTTTTATATTATCGTGCTGTATGTTCTAAGTAAAAACTTATAAAAATATCGACTGGTATAATACTGCAACCTGTAATACCATATTTTACCCCCTAGGGGTTAAATTTTCCAAAACCTTTTTTTCTTAGTGGCTGTATCCCGTGATGAGTAAGTGAGTAAGTAGCATATCGCTTATACATATGTAAAGATATAAGTTATATTTTTTTAAATATAACAGTATTAACAAAAAAAATTTGCAAGTGGTAGAGTGGGAGAGGGGAATAGAAACAATGCTCCGTGTTTCGTATGGTGAGTGTAGGCATCCGGAAACCTTTTTACTAATAACACACCGTAAGTGTTCACGGGTGACAACCTATCTGCATTTTGATTCTTAATCGGGGATAGATGTAGATGTCTATGGGCCACAGCAATAACGTACGATCATGTGAGCTGTGTGCTCGTTTGTCACCTTTATATAAAAAAAGCTGAACACCGTCACCGATCTGCTTATTTTAGGTCTGGTGTAAAAGAGATGGGTATTATGTATATGGTTGGTTACCTATCGGAAGCCATGAGATCTTGTTGGCATTTGCTATAGTTGCCTCTTACGACACTCCCGGGATGAAATGAGGAGATGGATTGGCATGGCACTGAGGCATTGTTTTGTTTATATACAATATGTAACAAAAACCCTGTGATTCCCGTTAAGTACGTTATCAGGATTATTATTCAAACCTATAGAAATAACTTTTTTTTTAAAAACTCCAACAATATGTTTAATGATGTAATTTTTCAATGATCATGATACTGTGTGGCCATCTGCGTTACAAATAAGTTCACCTTAGTCCCAACTAGCGACATCTGGTGAGCGTAAGATTGTCGTCTCATATTTTATTAGCTTAATTGCGTCCTACTGCTATTGAGAAAATAGCATTTGAGAAAATAAACTCGATCGTTCGTCGTGAAAATAGTACTTTTTTAAATTTATGAAAATTGGCAATTAACGAAGAAACAACGCCATCTTTTACTGGGTATTTGAAACACACAATATTAATTTTGATTCTCATAGCTGCCAACAAAGTTACACATTTTATAATGGAGGGAACTTATCATCACACTTATTAATTAATAAAAATTACTAATATTATAAATTTAACGCAATAAAGGATTTAAAAAAAAATACGTTATCCCACACTAGGATTTTCTTCTGTATCGTGGAGGCAGTTTACATAGGTACATACATTTGATAAGGAATAACACTAGACCCGGAACAAATATTAGTGGGCTATACAAATAACTTGGTCTGTGCGGAATTCTAAAGCGCGGCCGCAAAATATTGCCACTGCGCCAAGAAACCGTCGAATGAAAATATTATCATAGGTTAAGTAGTTGTTATAGGTTTTATAGGTTATTAATTATTATAGGTTAAATAGTTTATCAGTACCAATTCATGTACAAAATTTTTCGTTTTTACTTAAACCGTCCTTATTTAGAATAAGAAATATAGACAGAGTTCGTAGATAATAGAGGTCTTCTGCTCAAATAATTTAATATACTATGTGGTACCTAGCACTCCTTTGGTACTGTATTCTTACATATTTCTGCAGTTATTCAACAGTGGCGGCCGCCCACTACATGGTAAAATATACACGAAGTTAATGTATGTAAATTGCTCAGGACCGTGCTTTGTGGCATTCCTTGGGGGAAGCCTATGTTAAGCAGTGGACTTGTGAAGGACTGTAATGATGATGATGATGGTGATGATGAAGCTGCAATACACTGCTTATTGCGGTCTAAAGGGTATAGAGGGTTAATTTAATTACAGGTTGAGAGGAATTCTACCTCAGTCCTCAGAGCTGACAACGGATCTGTAGCCTTATTTGATTGAAGTTGGCTGCAGGTGTCCATGGGCTGCAGTAGACACTTACCATCAGCTGCACTGTAAGTTCTAAATGTTTAATATTGTTAAGCTTTTTTCCTAAAATATTTGTAACTTCTTTAAATGCATGAGCATTTGCAGCCACTGTAATAACCTAATAGTTCAACTGTATTAATTAAATATATAATTCTAGTATATATTTGTTCACTGAGTGTAAAAATAGATTATATTATTATTAAACTAGCGATCCGTAACGTTTTCGCACGGGTGATTTCTGGATCCGACAACATCGCCATCTATCGGGTTCAACTGTGAGTGTAAAGTGCAAACCAATCCAGACACTCACTCAAACACAAACAAAAAATTTACTCAAAAGTAGTTTAGTTCAGTCGTTTAGGAGTTCAGTGACAAACACATACGGAAGAATTATACGTATAATAAAGATATAATATTTTAATAAATTATATTGAGGATTGAAATTGATTTCTTTTCTGTAATTATACTAAAACATTTGTGCAATGCATAAATGTAAATGTATGTATAAATGTAATAAACCTTCTTAATCGTATTTCTCATTTTCAGTTGCTAACGGTCGTATCTGATAAAACGTCATCCATTCATTCAAAATCAAGTCAACGCAAGACGGTGGTAATGGTCAATCCAAAATCCAAGAGTTTAGCATGTGTAAATAAAACGTGTAATAAAACGTACTTTTTTATAGAAAGGGCAAACGAGCATGCGACTCACCTGGTAAGTGACTACCGCAGCCCATGAACAACTGCAACACCAGGCGAATTGCAGGTGCGTTGCCGATATATATGTATAAAAAGTCTAACAACACTCTTGTAAGCAGGCAAGACTACTTTATGCTAAAACTTACCAAGACGGATTCCGTTTGAGTTTGACATTGTTGTAAAGCGCGCGCGGCGTGCTCGCGTACGTGTAGGGCCCCTTGGCTCTCGGCTGTGGTCCTTCCACCAGCACCGAGCGCACAGACACGCTCATCGCAACATGTAGCTTACAGGAGCACTACACTTTCACCACCACACTCAACAACACACTTAATATATATACACTGACGTATGTCACTCACGCCAGTTTCGTTCAAAAATAGAATTGTGACTTTCCATCCTGTTGACAAGTAATTTACCAATACGTGACATTGCTTTACTTATTAATTTACGGAGTCAGTGTCCTGTACTGTTGTTGTTAGTGTGTTGTTTGTCGTTGGCATGGAGATCGATAAACAAACGCTTCCGGAGCCCTCGGTGCGCTCGGAGCCGAACATTACACTGACAAATCACTGTCTTATTGCTTACTAGCTGTTCCCCGCGACTCCATACGCTTGTAATTTCTCATCTCATAAGTTTTAATTTCTTTTGCGCGAATCCCTAATTCTTTTTCTAAAATAAAAGTAACCTAAGTTACTCCTTTTATCATCAGTATCTGTCAGTGAAAGTCCCGTCAAAATCGGTCCAATCATTTCGGGGATTAGCTGGTACTAACAGACAGACACACAAACATTTTAAACCCGTATTTCTTATAAGTACTGTAAATACTTTCATGCATTAAGTTAAAGCTATTATTTTGCCATTACAAACATATACTTCAATTTTATTTATTTGTATTGATTGGTCAACTCTAGGATATCTCGCGTTTGTATTCGATGAAAAATATCTTCGCAGTTCCATTATGTAAATTCAATTACGCTATAATTCGTTTTTTAATAATTTTTTTATTAAAGTAGGGGCAAAGGAGTATGCGGCTCACCTGATGGTAAATGACTACCGCCGCCCATGAACAACCACAACACCAGGGGAATTGCAGATGCGTTGCCGGCCTTTTAGAAAGCTGTAAGCTCTTTACTTGAAGGTCCCTAAGTAGTATCGGTCCGGAATAATTGCCTGTGGTAAATAATTCCACAGAAAAGTTGTACGCGGAAGAAAACTCCTAGTAATCCGAACATGCACAAAATATAACGAGGATTATGTGCAAATTGATGTAGGTACTTATTTCATGAGAGTAAGTTTAAGTTTATATACAAAACTAAAGTAAGTAATGTGAAAGCTATGATACTGTACCTACTTACTTTTATCATCGCATTTGTTTTAACACTAATTGTCTACATTGTAATTACTGTGTAAGGCCATAATATAACTTTTTGTGTCTATTCAATAGAATTTTGGTGGAAACAATTTTAGCTTTATGTATTAATTCAGTGTTCACTTATATATTATAAATATTCAGCTGTATGTTTTCCATAAATAAAAAAAACTCTGCTTTTAAGTTCTGTTTGTTTTTCATTACTTTTAAAATATATTAAATATAGGTTATATTTTCTGTAAATATAACCTATATAACCTATATATAACCTATATTCGACAGTGTTCCTTATCATAACTATATTGGATTAGATGTATGCTTTTTCGTTGGTCTGAGGATGCATGACGATACCAAAGAGTATATAATCACTACGTTTTTCAAAATCAAAAGGCCACATGTCAATGCCATAAATTAATGCCTGCAACTAATGCAAACAAGAGAGTCAAAATGCTAAACATGCAGATAAAAAGGAAAGTGATTAATAAGGAAAAAGGTTTGCGACTGAAGCCTCTCAAAAATGGAGTACATAATAGATCATATCTCTTAGCAGCAAAGAGAATACGTGGCTAGTGTGATTTGCGGAAAAAAAATCTTTATTTTTATCAAACTGACCGCTTTTAGCAGAGCAAGCAGAGTAATCAGCAACGAGATTAGCCAAATTAATTCTTCCGCATGCCTTTTTTAACGTGTAGTGGCGGTGTGAGAATATCCACTACACCGTATCGTCCCGTGGGTGTTGTAAGGGGAGTCATAGGGAAACATTACCAAGAGATGGGCAGCAGCCTTTTCCTAATAACAATTAAAACATAAAAATCTGCCAACGCGCTTGCCAAGCGTGGCAACTATGACAAATGTCCCCCATGTATAAGTCAATGCACGGAGGAGGCCTATGTTCAGAAGTAGAGTTAGTCTAAAGTAATAGAGTAGTATTCGACGACAGACGATACGTACTCTAATCGACGAATAGAAAATAAAATGATCACAGAAGACTATTACTCTTTATTGAGAGGACACAAATTGAAAGCGGTATTCCTAAATCCTAAGCTAGTGCATTGGTTTTAAAGACTGACGTTTAGATTTAAACGCTAAAAAACAACAGTGTCGACGAGATGTGCGTCCAGTGTAGTGTGTCATAGTCTTTATACAAAATTATTAATTACGCTAGAATTTCAACCCTGGCAATCTGGCGCAGTAGGTTTTCTTCTTTTGATATTTTCTGTACGATCGTGGATCTTTAATAAGTTTTCGACACATATGATGGCCTCTGTTTTTTACAAATGTCTTTTTATAATTCAACTTTGCATACTGAACGCCTGTACTTGAGTAATCACATATTACATACGTTCAATACATAATAATTTTAGAGACCATCGCCAGTATAAATGGATACCGAGATGATTTCATACTTAAATAATAGATTTTTTCTTTATTTTTTGGCACGAAGCCATTAAAGAATTTAAAATAACTGGGGTGACCTTATAAATTACAAAAAATATATTAGATAATAAATATGCAAAAGTTAAAATTAAGATATCATATCGCATTGAATAGTATATACTTTGATTATATACATGTATAATCAAAGAGTATATAATATAATATTATTTAAAAACATCATATTAAATAAATGTAAATAATTACACCGCCATCTATTGGACAACTTACATACTAACAAGAAGTTCTAATTCGGATTGCGTGATGATGATAGTTTATATATTATTATGTGTCCCCTTTTTAGTAGTTCAACATTCTGTCGCTAGATGACAGGTTATACATTTTCCGTATTTAAGCAAGTTATTTAATTTTTCACATTATAATAAAGCTTAGTATAAAAGAAAGAAAAATATTATAAGAAAAAGAAAATATTGAGAGTAAACCATAATAAATATACGCTCGCCGTAAATTTACAGTATGAGAGTATCCTGGTTTGATCGCCGCCGGCATTAATGAAATGAGGGCATCCACGACTTTTTCTGCCACCATGGCAGTGTCACTAGAAAATGATATTTGACAGATTTCGTAGCGGGGAAGGTATTTTTTTCGGAAAACGTAAAAGTTATAGTCTCTTTCTGTACTATTAGCTATATTTTATACTGCGGCAGGACTGCATAAATTACCGCGGTATAAGCCTTCTCAGCGTCGTCGGTAAATTGTATGCGAAAGTGTTGATTGAAAGGGTTGTGAATGAAACAGATGAAAAAGTATGGGATGTACAAGTGGGAATTAGAAAGGGAATGGGATGTACGGATCAGGTCTTTTCCTTGCGGTGCATAGCCGAAAAGTGTTTGGCAAAAAACAAGAAGGTCTACTGCGCGTTCGTAGATCTAGAAAAGGCCTATGATAGAGTGGTGAGGAATGAATTGTGGTAGGCACTGTCCGTAAACGGTGTGAGCAGTATCCTCATACAAGCATTGCAATCTCTTTATAGGGATTCTAGTGCTTGTGTAAGGATAAACGGGGCATAAACTGAATGGTTTAATATCGAAAAAGGCGTTAGACAGGGATGTGTAGCGTCACCGTGGCTGTTTAATCTGTTCATGGACAATTGTTTGACAGATTTAAAAGAGAATGAAAATGGGTTGAGAATGAATGAGTTACTCGTCAAATGTTTTCTCTACGCTGATGACCAAGTATTACTTGCGTCTTCGGCCGAGGAGTTGTAGGAGATGGTAACTGCTACGAGGGGAGCTTTTTTTAGAAAGGGAATGAAGATGAATGTAAGGAAGACGAAAGTGATGGTGTTTGAAAAAGACGAGGCAGTGACAGACTGCAATATCGTGATTGAAGATGAACAAATTCAACAGGTGAAAGAGTTTGTGTATCTGGGTTCAAACTTTACAAGAGATGGAAAGTGTGAGAGTGATATCGAAAGAAGAGTGAATGCAGGAAACATGGTGAATAGAGCTTTGCACTCCTTTATGAGCAGTCGGAAGGTGTCTAACAAGGCTCGTTTGGGTGTGCATGAGGGGGTGTTGGTTCCCGACACTCATGTACATGTTTTTTGTACGTGGTAGAGCCATGCTGCAGCTATATTATGGTTGTAGCACGAATGGGTCGGCTCGACCGGGGAAGTACCACGCTCTCACAGAAAACCAGCGTAAAATAGCAGCTTAACGCTGCTGTGTTTCGTATGGTGAGTGTAGAGAACCGGAGACCCTTTTTACTGGCAAAGAGGCATTCCATCTTAGTCCTCACGGGTGACAACGCATCTGCATCTTGAGTCTTTATTGAGGATAGATGTAGATGTCTATGGGTCACAGTAACCACTTACCATCAGGTGGACTGTGTGCTCGTTTGTCACCCGATCCTATAAAAAAAATGTACGGAAGTGAAAGTTGGGTATGGCAGAAGAAACATGAAAGCAGATTAAATGCAGTTGAGATGAGAGCATTAAGAAGTATGATAGGAGTTAAACTGAGTGATAGGATAAGAAATAGTGAAATAAGGAAACGTTGTGGTCTGAAAGAAGATGTAGTGACAAAAATTGAGAAAGGTATGCTGAGATGGTTTGGCCATGTTGAGAGAATGAATGAAGAACGATTGACGAAAAAAGTGTATAAGGCGAGTGTGAATGAAAGTGTTGGAAGAGGTAGACCTAGGCGTACATTTCTAGACCAAATCAGGGACGTCTTGAAAAAAGTCCAGGTCAAGAGTACCCTAAACCGTAGGGCATGTATGAAGGGAATAATGAAAGTGGACGAGGCGAAACAAGTATGTAAGGATCGTAGCAAGTGGAAAGAAGTGGTCTCTGCCTACCCCTACGGGAAAGAGGCGTGATTATATGTATGTATGTATGTATTTTCTACTAATAATATCAAAATAAATAAACCAAACCACAGATATACGTAAAAGTAGAAATTTAAAAAAAAAGCTAAATATGTGCAAAAAATTAAAGAACAAAC